CCGCTGGCAAACAGGCACCGCCCCCCCCCCCCCCCCCCCCACCCACGCAGGCTCCACTTAGTTGCCGGAAATTCAAAACTGTGTGATGAGACGATAGAATGTCAGACAGCGTCACTGGTATATGTAGGGAGTTTAGCTGCTGGTAAGGATGGATGATGATGATTCTCACGAGCCTGTGGTTCCACTATTGCCCCCTGCAGGGACATTGAGATCTTCGCCCTCTTCGTGTCCTGCATGTGCCACGATCTGGACCATCGAGGGACTAACAACTCCTTCCAGGTGGCCTCGGTAAGGACCGTGGTTCTTGTCAGCCTATTTCACATCATATGTAAGCTATGTATTCAACTGAATACTGCCACCCATTCATTTTCTGAAACCGCTTGTCTTATTCAGGGTCGTTGGGGGTCTAGAGCAGCGGTGGGCAATCTTATCCGCAAAGGGGCGGGGTGTATGCAGGTTTTTGGGATAACCTGTAGGTCAGCTGTTCAAACCCAGATGTGAGGACTCTTCAGCCAATCAGTCCTCTAATTAGTGACCTAATTAGGGAGTTGCAGCGAAAGCCTGCATACACCCCGCCCCTTTGCGGATAAGATTGCCCACCCCGCCCCTTTGCGGATAAGATTGCCCACCCCGCCCCTTTGCGGATAAGATTGCCCACCCCGCCCCTTTGCGGATAAGATTGCCCACCCCTTGTCTAGAGCCTCTCGACCGAAGCAGCTTCCATCTCAGCTCGGTTCCTCTTAGCCCTGTATCTCATTCCTGCGCTAAATCCAAGTCCAGTTACGTCTACGTCCGCATCCTTGTGCCGGCGCCTCTAGCTCCAGCACAGCCATCCATCATCCCGGGCAGCGGTCTTTAAAAATAAACGCTTTATTTAAAATATTGGCAGCAGATGTAGCTTTACAGAGTACCGTGGGTGTGTGCCCTCCAAGGGAACGGGGGAGGTAGTCTTCCCTAATGACCTTGCCGGTACCGTCTTTTATCACGATTCCCACTGGAAACATATGTGACCTGTCTCACCGAAGAACTTCCAGACTCTTTTAAGATGCTGTACTCCCCCTCGGGCTCGTGACTGCGCCAAGCGGCCGCTGTTTCTGACCGCAGCTCTGCTCTGCCTCAGGCTTTATGAATATTAATGGGATGCCAAACTTGCCTCAGCTAGAGAAGGCTCAGCAACCATAGCCAGTAGTCGTAGATGGTTCTAGAAGTCAGGGCCATCAAATGGAGACGTTCTCATTCTCGCATGGCGACTAAACAGCCGCTTCTTATGTCTCTGTTGGCGTTTGGAGGCTGGGGAATGGCGGGGATGTGATATTCCCTGCTGAAGAAGATGGTTCCCTGGTGCAGGACGTCTGTGCTTTGTCAGCCTCAGGATAATTAACATATTTAACACTGTTACTTAATCCCACACTGAGCTGCCACTACAAGGAGCTGCTAATTCAATACCATCCGCAGCTGTTGCTCGAACTCAGGAGAAGATGTTTTTGGTCAAAAATCAAAGTGTGTGGCCAGAATCACAGTCCAAGAGTGCGATTGTCAAGTGATTTTCTCTCATTCATCCCTTTGCCCAGGAATCGGTGTTGGCAGCCCTGTACAGCTCAGAAGGTTCTGTGATGGAGGTGAGTGTTTGTGTGTCATTATCTGCCCGTACAGCGTGTCAGTCATTCTTAGATGGTAGTATATTCCACACTAGCCCCATTTTCTAATGTAACTCCCTGCCAGATGATAAATCACCCACAGGAGAAAAATTTAGATATGCGAAGCATTTGTTGTGGAATGAGCTGTTAAAGATGCTTCTAGGAGATAGAGGGAGACTTATCTTGATATAATGTCCTTCACTCGTGCAATTTTCTGGTGTAACTCTGTCGCCACCTGGTGGACAGCAGTAGCCTTGCGCCTTTAATCCATTCCCTGCCTTGTGTTTGCAGAGACACCACTTTGCCCAGGCAATTGCCATTCTGAACACCCACGGCTGCAACATCTTTGACAAGTTCTCCAGAAAGGTCAGTGTGAGGCATGGCACTCTTTATACAGTGATGAAACTCCCAGGACAAATAAGTAAATAATCATTGTGGCTCGAATTCAATACAGGAGTGAGCTGTGTTGCTTTAACCTCCAAGAATGCACATTGTACTGTACAATGACATTTCTACTTAATGTTTTTTTTTTTTGCTCGTTGCCAGGACTACCAGAGAATGCTGGACCTCATGAGGGACATTATCCTGGCCACGGACTTGGCTCATCACCTTCGAATCTTCAAGGACCTGCAGAAGATGGCGGATGGTAATGGCTGTTTCCTGCCGTTTCCATAGCGCCGCAGTGCCAGAGAAGCCTATTGTTCATATGTATATCCCACTTCCTCTTCCAGCGGGTTACAGCCCCAAGAACCACAACCACCGCAGCCTCCTCCTCTGTCTGCTCATGACCTCCTGCGACCTCTCAGACCAGACCAAAGACTGGAAGACCACCAGGAAGATAGCGGTGAGCTGCTGTTCACACAGCGCCGTGGCAAAGCAGCTTATCGACATAATCAAACCCTGACACTACTACACCTTACTGACTACTGTGCCTTACTGACTACTGCGCCTTACTGACTACTGTGCCTTACTGACTACTGCGCCTTACTGACTACTGCGCCTTACTGACTACTGCGCCTTACTGACTACTGCTTCTTACTGACTACTGCGCCTTACTGACTACTGCGCCTTACTGACTNTACTGACTACTGCGCCTTACTGACTACTGCGCCTTACTGACTACTGCGCCTTACTGACTACTGCGTAGGATGGTTTCGAAATTTCAAAAGGAAGGGGCCTGCGGATCCGGCGTGCCAGTTTGTGTTTTGTTCAGTCATAGTTTTTCTTCATGAAGTCTTGCTATTGTTACCTTCAGATCTGAAGTGTTGTCCTCATCTCCAGGCCCCTTATCACCAAGTCTCTGCTTTTTATCAGCCGGTTAAAATGCAATATTTGGCAAAGGAGACGTCATTGCAGGACGACATTGAAACCAGCCCTAACCACACGGCTTCCCCTCTGTTTACAGGAACTCATCTACAAGGAATTCTTCTCCCAGGGAGACTTGGTTTGTCCAATTTTCCATTTGTTTTCATTTTGAATTATGCATGAATAACAGAGTAATTATTGTTCTGTGTTTATTAGATGCACTGGAAAACTCATTTGTATAAATCAACACCCGTAAGGTCAAGGGCAGACTTTTAAAATGATTTCTGCTTGTATCGCATGAAGATTGGAGATTTCAGCCCCATTTGTGTCTGTGGTGTAGATGTATGTTAATGTCTTACACGTGTGTGTGTGTGTGTGTGTGTGAGGTGTCTGAGTTTGTGTGTGTAGCCATGTCCCCATAAGCCTTCCACCCCTGAATCCATTCACAAATGCCTTTTAACAAGTTGACGTGATTTAATATCCAATTATGTAATATATTTAATATGATTGTACATCTTTCTTTCAATATGGCACTCACTGAAAAGCCTGTGTAACATTTTCCCTGGGTTGGGTGCATTTCTGAATTTTGTGAGCCACTAATAAGCTCCATTTCCACTGTTGCCCAGGGACATTTAATACTCTAAATCCAGCCCAGTCTGTGGTCATTTTGAGAATGTGTTTCCACTTGCAGCAGTTGACCCTTATATGATGTGTGTGTGTGTGTGTGTGTGTGTGTGTGTGTGTGTGCTTTTGATGGCAGGAAAAGGCTATGGGAAACCGGCCCAGTGAGATGATGGATAGGGAGAAGGCCTACATTCCAGAACTTCAGATCAGCTTCATGGAGCACATTGCAATGCCCATCTACAAGTAGGAGTCTCTGCAGTAGTCAATATACATGACTGGCATTCCCATACCTATGTGTTACTAACCCCCCGCTCCTCTCTGCCCACCCCATGCCCAAATAGACTACTTCAGGATATATTCCCGCGAGCGTCGGAGCTGTACGACAGAGTGTCCGCCAATCGTGAGCAGTGGACCAAGGTCTCCCACAAGTTCACCATTCGCGGGTTGCCGAGCAACAACTCGCTAGACTTCTTAGACGAGGAATACGAGCTGCTGCGGGCGCAGGAGGCGTCGAGCGAGGACGCGCACAGGATGAACGGCTGCGTGGATGCGGACGCGGAGTGACACGCGGTGCGGAACCGGGCGCGTCCCGTACCGGTGCCAATAGAGATACTGCCACAAGACAGCCGTCTGCGACCGCAGAGCGAATGTTAAGTTCTCAAGATGTTAATAGTGTAAATCAGTGGTGGCTTTTTCTGACATTATATCTTGTGTCGTTCTTCATTATGGTGATGTCTCAGGATGGTAATTCCAGTTCTGTAAATCTGAAGTGTGTGTTTATTCCACTTTTAAACGGCAAGATGTGGCGGCCGGAGGTCCCGTGTCTTTTTATTGTACAGAATACGAAAAGCATACATTTCAGGGTCCGTTTACTTTTGTGAATTTGTACACGTACATTAAAATGAAACATTTCGAGCTGAACATCTAGAGATGTGCACAGTATAGAGCAGCTTGAAAACATAGATAAACAAAGATAGACTTAAAACCTGGGGTTTCCCCTGATTATCAGTTATTACGGCATTACTACGACATAGTGATCGTGTTACATTTTAGTATGGATCTTTAACGATCGGATTGTTTTAGAGAACATCACTTTTTGTATTTTTCATACATTATTATACATTCAAGAGAATTTACATTTAAGAGAATTTAACTCCTGTGCCATCTTTCACGTAAACCTTTAGTACTGAAAACGTGAATTTGTTTGTTTTCGTTGCTTATTGATGCACACATCTGCCGAATACATTTTTCTTACCTCCTAACCAACACAAAAAGTAGGCAAGTAGGGAAGGGAGTTACATTATTGTTCTTGCTCTTACAGTACACCGGGTTTGTGCATTTTGTACTCGTTAGTCATACGCGTTAACATTTATCTTCTTTTGGTTTGCTAAAACCACTCAGTGCGACGAAAGCCCTTTAAAAACCTCCTTTAACGTTGATACCAGCACATATTGCACAGTGATAATAAGGTGTCATCCTATAGAGCAGCGATGACATCACCATCACATGTGGCGTCGGGCGACACTGACCCACACGCAGAAAAAACGTACGTCAGCTTTACTAGGCACGCGGATGTGTACATATATTTATGAGGATAAGGGCTATGACGCTCTTTGAGGCATCACTAGTCAGTACCGAAGCCTGACAAATTGTGTATTATATTGATTTGCCTTATATCTCAGTTGCCTTTAGTAAGACGTCTTACTATGTATGAAATATACTTTTACAATGTACCAATGTACACTTTCTGTTGGCGCGGGTAGGTACTGTAAGCCTCCATGCAGTGTTATAAAAAAATCCCAGTGAATTTAAACCTTTACAAATGCTATGTAATTTAAAAAAAACTAAATGAAATTTAGCGCGAAACACTTCCAGATTAAGAAATACTACTGATATTTTCCATTCAGGTAAACTGGTCGCGCTAATTTCATAATGATGCGTGTGGTAAGACTGGGATTTCGATGCTGTAGGCCCTTTGGCACCTTATAAATCCCTATAGGTATTAAATCTTATCATAACTACTCCCATGCTTAACTGAGAACATGTGTCACTACTGTACGACATTGTCACGACATTACAGCTGTTAATATATGGTCATTACCAGAATAACGGGATTATTGAAATTGTACATAGAATTTCAATTGTTTGAATCAGATTCAGGTAGATCTCAAAGAATATGCTCCTGTACTTTCATACTTGTGGGTTCAGCTTTGATTTTAGTCCAAACTCGGTTTTTCTGATTCATTTGGCCTCGTTATGTGTAATCACGCGTTTTCCCTTGTGCAATATAACGTTAATTGCTGCTTTCGTGGGTGTGTCGTGTACTCCGATGTAAATATGGTTTGTTTTTAAATTATTCATTTTCGAGTATTTTCATTTATGAAATATATATATTCTGGTATTTGTAAGTTTATATCTATCTATACATGTTAGCTTCAAATTATTTTCCGCCCTTAAACGTACAGGATGTTGTTGTGCCAATCTCTGAAAGGGTTTGTACATGGAGATTTTGAACCTGTACCGAGTGTCTAATTGTTCTAAGTGGCAAATATACATACATGTAAATAGTAATGAAATGTTTCTCAGTTATACATGCTTATAATAAAACTATCAGACAGGAAGGCTATATTGGTTATTTACGCCGACATGGTTGCGATGCCTGTGTTTTAAAATCCTTTCATTGCGAATTTAGCCTTTTTGTTTTCCCCAGATGTAACTTATGCCCAAATAATTAATAACCGACTAATATCTGAATAAGACAAATATAGCCTATATTTTGATGATTTCAGAATTATGGGGAAGCAAAAAAATGCAAAGAAAGGTAGGATACGAGTGAGATTGTCCTCCACATAAAGTTAAACGAATCTTCTTCCTATAGCCTACTGCATAGCTGTAGGCAGTATGAGCAGAACCTTTAATGTACACACCTGTAGATACTGTAAAGGGCGTGTCTCGAACAGGCTGTTAAAAGCATCTTTTAAGCGGGCAGAAGGTATGATGTCGGTGAAATAGACAAGACAAAACAAAACGGATGAATTTTTACCTAAATAAACATCGTAAAGTGAATTCTCATGTTTCACATTTCATTATCTTTAATGTTACGCAGTTAGCGGTGGAAAACAACAGTTTTGCTACATCATCAATAATGTGCAAATGCCCCAATATAGCTTAATGTTTATCAGCTAAATTATCAAACATTTATTTTATTTTTAATGGAGAATTACTTTCCTGTAAGGTAAGGGGATTTTTCCTGTAGTCTATCGTTTAACTACTGAAAAAGTATACTGAAAGTATAACGTATATTCAACCAGTAGCAATTACAGTTGTTTAAAATCCCACATAGGTAGCCTACATTATTATTAAGTGAAGTTGTGCAAGACTGAAATGAAATCGCAGCATATACAACTCTTAATAAAGTACGCTTTATATGCCTTCGAAATTTACCGCGTTTGATTATTTTTAGAACAAAGCAGATTAAATTAATAATGCATGCACATTATTTCAATACAATTAAAAATTATGGTAAGTAGTTATCTGCTGCGTAGGAGTCAGCGTGATTTGCACATTTAACGCAGTTCAATCATCAGCTTAATAAATATGAAGTTAATTATCTAAACAAGAGCTTGTTCGGCGGCCTCCTAACGGCTTGGATTCAATCATTGATTTCATTCTACTGCATTACAGCAAGAGAAGCTTCCTCCAAACAGGCGGGAGGGACCATGTATCTTGTCAATCACTGCTTTTCTTTTTTTATCCAATGAGAGAACGAGAAATGGGCGATTGACACGTCAAGCCGGCTTCACATTGCCTTCCAGGGGCCCCATTCCTCCGCAGCTTCCATGGGCTGGATCATATGATGAAAACAAACCCCACCCCTGGAAGTGGGAGGGGGGGGAAAAAAGATGGATGCTTCCTGTAAGACTTCCTTACGTTTGTGAGCCCGGAGGCCGGAATGTGCCAGGTGTGATTTTGTGAGTCCCGGTCCCGCATCGCTGTGGCACATTTACCCGGCGAGAGGATGGAGAAGAGCGGCAGCGCCGACAGTCTGGGCTCCAAGCGCTCCTCGTCCCGGCAGCCGAGCGTAGATTCCTTGACCAGGTGCGCTCCGGGCCAGGCGTGTGTGTCTGCCTGCTTAGGACCCATTTTGCCGTATCTGGGTCAGTAACAAGGTGGACACAGTTGTTTCTAGTTGGACTTACGGCTAAACTATTACACGAAGTGCACGTAGATTGTTTGCGGGAGTTCAGTTCACTGCCCGATCCGTACTGACGGCGCTGAAATAACTGCCGTGTCATCTGAGCATCAGCGCGTTAAATCGCCACCGTCAGAAAGCCGCTTTTTTGACGCGTTGCTTTAGTTTCTTTGCGGATTGCGACCTTGTGCGCTGTTGTTTGTATTTATTACGACCCTGAGTTTGTAAGATCGTCCCTTTTTACTTTGGGCAGCACGAATACGACCCGGTCCGACCGCTCAGCTCACCTGAGGTCCGCCGTGTCCCCGGACGCCGCGTCCGCCCGCACCGACCTGGGCGCCGAGGTACAGGAGCGGCCGCTTGTCATCCGGCGCTTTTAAATACCTTCTATGCCATTATGTGAAACCCCATGTATTTAAGCATTTATATATTTAAATATATATGTAAACATCTCAACATGTATGCATGTATTTACAGTACTGTGCAAAAGTCTTAGGCAGTCAAAAGAAATGTTTAAAGCTGTTTATCTGGGTAGCAAGTGTACTTTGGCTTAGAACAAAAAACACTATTTAACATTTGGACATATGCAAATTAATAGTGGCAATAAAAACTAGTAATAATTTCTTCTGTTTTCTAAAAAGTTACTGATATCTAGTTGGATGACTAGATAAACACGGCTTCATTTCCCAAACCTCTCCTCAGGGGCACCTCAGCCGTTCCTTGATTTTGTTAAATTTCACCAACAGCTCAATTAAATAAATTGGCTTAAAGAGTCAGTGACAGATTGACTAGCTGTATGAGGTATTATAGTGGCCAAGTCAAAAAATACATGGCTGCACTGGACGGTCGCTGCAAATACTGGGGTGATTTTAGCAGAGGTTCTGAAATGGCTAAGCTGACACACTTTGACAGGCATAATATCATAGTTTTACACCAACACGAGGATAATTTTCTTTGCCTGCCTAAGACTTTTGCACAGTACTGTATATCAGTAAAATATTTAGATATTTGGTACATTTATATTTATATAGGCCTTTCTGCTTATTTAAAAAAAATATGCGATGTTATTTGTCCTGAAAATTTAAATTATTAATTGAATAGTAGCTTAATTATCCCAGTCGTATAAATATTAAATAGTATGCACTGTTCAGTGACATTCTGTTCGCTCTTTTTCCTGATTTTGCAACAATGCATTTTTTACAAAGAAAATAACCCTCAGGTTCAACTTCCAAGACAAACGTGGAGTATTTCAAGCCCCCTGACTTGCTTGTTTTAGTAGAGGGGTGATACGGAGCTCGCAAAGTCCCAAAAATGGTATTTTTTTATCAGCTCTGTTCCTTGCTTATGTGACAGTGTGTTTTACTTTAGAGATTCGTTTCATTTTGTTTACTCTGCTGGTCTGTTTACAGGTGCTCAAGGAATCGAGTAGAATTGCCGAAGGAGAACTGCAGTTACTGCCGAGGGAGTCGGTGCAGGACACGGGTGAGTACCATGTCCTGCATGCCGGTGGTCTGTCGAGTAACCCTAACCCTAACCCTAACCCCTAAAACCTAACCCTAACCCCAAGACGGTGGAACTGCACATGCGCAGAAAGGCTCGATAGCACGTCTCGATAGGCAGGATGTTATGACAGAACACCGGCCCCGTTCACGCCTGGCATTAAGATAAACCCACAGCGTCCTGGGCGACACGATCACAAATGTACCTCCGTGCCACCTGCCATTTACACGTAAATCACTTCCGTATGCAGCATCTGCCAAACATTAAAAGGAGGAGAGCAAATCAACAACTACTGGCGCAGTCCAGGGTAAACAAACCGCCTGAAACGTTTGTATGGAACCCATAATACTCCAAAATGAAATAAATAAAAATATCTATAAATTAATTTTTCAGCAATGCCCTTTTACCCAGTAGGATAAGCGATTTGGAAAATGGATGGATGGATGTCCTTTTATTTTTAAATAATTCCATAAAATGTATTATATTTCATGATGTTTATCTTCTACGTATGTATACATGTATTTAAACTGTACTTCGTAATAATGTTGCGATTTTCATTAGTCATTGTTATGAAATATTATTTCACATAATGCAAATGTAATTATATATAAAAAAAAAAAACTATATATTTCACAAAAAGGCCAACTTTCTATGTTGTAGGCATGCTTTTTTATACCGTGTCAACACAGTACAAACGTCCGTGTTAAAAAGGTCTTTCAGTCCTAAGATATTCCTGGGCTGGCTAATGCAGATGTGGTCCCAAGTTTACATACACTCATCAGGGACATGAATGTCATATTCATTTCGTTCTTTTTCCAGGATGGAATTATTATACAACATACATCTTCAGTGATTTTTAAAAACAAGAATTGTGTGCACAAGTCTGAATATATTTAGGATTTTCTGAAATCCACATGAGGTCAAAATTATACATACAAATTATACATGTTTTTAAAAATCATTCCACTCTGGAAGAAGAACTAAATTACTTTTTTCTGTACTTTTCTATTCAAGGGCAAAGGATTCAGTCAGCAATATATAATATTGGTTGTCATAAGATAATATTTTGGCTTTTAATCATAGCCAATGAAGCTCAAAATTCATGAAAATTGTTTAGCTGGAGTGGGACTCAATTTCTGACCGGGAGTTCAAGCCCCCAGATAGCTCAATAAAAAACAATCTAAAAAATTACTGTGTTATGTTTCTATTGGCATATCCATTATCTAGGATATTGAACGCACACTCTTTCCTACACGATTTCATTTTACGTTCATATAATTTTTACCAACACGGTTCACCAATATTAATAAATCGTGGAGCAGATTTTACATAAATAAGGAAGCTTCATCAAAGCTCGCATTAAACACGATCTGTGCAAATTCCAAAACACCTTTAATAAATCACCTCTTACACAATACTAATACTAATGAAGCTCACTTTTGACAATGTTTCCATGCTAATTGGTTGCGACAGTCCGATATTAAACCAACATCCCAGCAGATTCAAACTTATTTTTTAGTTTTGTAGAAAAAACGTGTGCTGTTATTCACAATGCAGTTTACTACAGTGACCCATGTTGCACTGACTTACGTTCTGACGTAAATCACACACCAAATACCTTTCGGCGTCTAATGAGTTTGTACGTACATACGCCCACAGGAGGACGTCAGCTGATTCGGCGGCCCGTCAGTGCAGCCTGGAACACACTCGTGGTCACACTGCTATAAGAATGTGGCCATTTGTGTCTCAGACCATCTCTGAATGTGGTTTGAGTGATTGGATCTCAATGCGTCCTCAGTCTTTTTTGGTGCGTTCACACCTGTATTCAGCCCTGTCCCCTTGTGATCGGATCACCCAGGAAGCATGTTAGTCCCAGGTGTGAACAGGGCCTACGTGATGCCGATGTTTGGGGGGGGTATTGGCGTGTAG